TCCAGTGGTTATCACATCTACGTGATATAAAGCGAAGCTTTTCGCTAAGAACATTGCCACTAACACAACCTTACATTAATACCACTCTCTGTAATAGTTTTTATTACAGCAAGACTTACCAAATCTCTTGACCCTAAGAAGGCTACTTGTCAAGATAAACCCCAGTTGTTGTCCATAAAAATGCTAATCTCGTACATAGCAAAAAATTTAAAAAAAATTAAAAAAAACAACTTGAAATAAAAATACTTTCCAAATCTGTGAAAGTGTCAGTCCACTGCTGACACGCTAACTGCTATTACTCACATAGTCAGTGATGGATTAGACGACAATATTTTTCAAGAACGACGGCATTAGATATTTCAAAGGCATTTAAAAAAATGTGGTACATAAATATAGATATGGAATCAACTCGAAGTGTATTATAAATCATAAAGTCGTTCCTAACGTTCCTGAAGGTAGTTATTAAAGACTAGTTCTCGAGGCACATGCGATCAAATAAGGTTTTGCCCAATGTTCGCTTCTCGGTTTGACTCTCTTTCCAAATGATCGGCCTAAGTGAAAACTCCTGTCATTTGTGAATATTTATGCTGTTGATACAACGGTATATCTTCATACACCTCTAGCACTCTAGTTGATCACTTTGATAGCTGATTTCTCCTCTGACTGGGTTCTAACATCTCAGTAGGGGGAAAAACTGCCTGGTTGCATTGAATGGCTCGAAGACCAAACTACTGATGTTTCATCATCAGCGAATGTTATCTCAGGGAAGACCGGTGTCTTTATCGTCTATGGAACCCAAACCTCAAGTGGAATACGCACATACCATTTATCGCTAAAGATACGGGAATAATGATCACTCCAGCAAGTACCCCAATCCTCCTGCCATCGACTGCCTTTGCAAGAGTCAGATCAGGCCGAAAATAAGGTAATGCTGTCGTATCTTGACAGGCGCCGTCAAGTCTTCACTTTTCACCCTCGATAGAGTCAAAAAGTCTCTCTGCATTCTTGTGGGTGACGTATTGTTTTCTACCCTACAGCCAATTTAACTCAAACGGAACGTCGCTAGCGTATCGCTATTTTTTAAAGAAAATCGCCCCATGGAAGTTAGGATTGCCACTATCACGCAAGGGCTTACAGTGAGCGAGTGTTAAAGTAAAGAGGAGTGTTTGGGAAAAGGATAAAGAGAAGGACATGGATCAACGTCAAGGCATCGGTACATGTCGATTGACGTTGCATTTGGATATTTGAAGTTTATAGCTATCATGGAAGCAAGTCATAGGAACGGAGATCCACTGACAGGAGGTGCGAAATAAGATGTTTGAGTAGAAAAGATGGCTATATTTAGTCGTTTACAGAGAGAGGATGGGACCGAGATGCCAACCTAGTAGCAGACTTAAATGCATGCAGTTTGTGAACCAGTGAAAGTAGCTCGTTGTCATGAAAGTACTTATAGAAATGACAAAGGGAAGCCACAGACCGTCTGTGAGATAGCGACTGATCAGGAACAACGACGTTGCATATACGTTTCTAGATTTTGTCTAGGACCTTGAGATGAACAGCGGGAACACCTGACCATATATGGAAGCAGTATTCCAGGTTAGGACGAATGCTTGATTTGTAGATTTGAAGGATGGACTCAGGCAAGAAAAAAGCTTCTGGTGCGACACAGAACAAAATTTCCTTGTGTTAGATGAAGCTATAGATTCAATGCAGTTGATCCATTTCAGGTCAGATGTCAGCGTGAGACGAAGCAAGCGTAGAGAGGCGATCTCGTGGTGTTGGGCATCAGCCATCCTGATGGGAGACAGCGAGTGTTCTCTATGGTGTGTAACTGAGGGTAATTTCGTTTTAGAGTTATTCTATTGACTTTTCCATGGAAAGCAGACACTATACTACGCACATTGTAGCTACATACACTCATTCCATTCATATTACATTGAGATGTAATTTCCACTCATGTAGCTTCTTTCACGGAAAAGATACTTTGCGCAATCGACCTGATCACTAGAATCTTTACATGTCTAGGATCAACCTTATCTTCCTAACATAAATTATGCCTCTTAATATGTAACTGCCGACATTTTGTCTTTTGGCCTTGTAGAGGGGGAACAATATTGTAAAATATATGTTTTTAAAATCAATTCATTTCTTCTTATCGAAATTTGTCTAAACGCGTGACTTTGAAAACGCTATACGTTTATGAGCTGCTGTTTTAAACATTTTCTTTGAGTATTTTGAATTATAATCAGTGTCTGTTTCTTTGCATTTGTGAAACAATTTTTGAATTTCACTATTGCAAGAATTGTGCTTAAATTTTCCGCTAATATTTTCCCCCATAATCTCCACATTATATATATGCGTGTGTGTATGTATACTGTTGTGTGTACGCGTGTTTTTGTGTATATGTATGTCCTGCATAAAAATAAACGATGTTTTAATCGATGTAATACAAAAACGAATAAATTATTTAGGATTATAAATTAACATATCTAAAGCGCATTTAATTTATCTGAATCTTTGCCACATTATGGTGAACTAACTTCAGTATTTCAACAAGCAAAACGAAAACTATCATCGAAGTCAAATGATAACACATAAATCTAAATTTATTTCAAATATACCATCACAGGGTTATTCAACTGAATTTCATCTAATTTTATTCTTGATAATGATTGCATCTGATTGAATATTCGCTATATTATTAAGGACTCACACGACCTGTGCGACGGTTGACTTGCACCTTCATCACCAATATTGAGAAACTAATCAGCCACTAAATTATAACAAAAATAATCTAAATTTCGTTTTTTTTAGCTTAATTAAGCTAAATGGCGAATGCATAAAATTTATTTTTTATACAGTGTTTTAGTTATCGATGTTGTTAGAAACACTTAACTGGTTTGGAAGTTAATATTCGAAACTATCATTTTTTATTCAAATTCAATCTCAATCCCATTACAATAAATTACCCTTTATCTTAAATAAGAAACAGTTTCATCGACCAATCAAATACTCGAAAATGGTTTTTTACTGTTACAAAGACATTTTAACGGTCCCTGTAATAGTAAAACTATGCTTACTGTTATTGAAATTAAACTGTTAAATTCGAAGTAAAAAAATCAAATTTATTGTGGGAAACCCGAATAAAAATCTCATACAAGCCAAATGTCAAGTTTGATTTCTCATATTGTATCTTCCAAAAATTGTTTGGCCCCCATGATATTTTACTAATGCCAGGAATCACTGCAGTGTAGAAAAGCTGACTTTGAAATAGAAACCATGCTGAAAAGTTTAATTTCCAAGCATAAATTCTATTAACTTTCCCATTTGACATTTTAATCGCCAGCAATTGTAAGCTATGACTTTATTCGTCCACAAACAAAATTAAACACTTCAAAATGTTACTTTAATGTAAGGACACTTGCCAAAAAAACAAACAAAAAAGAAACGAAAGGCATTCACTTTAATCTCATCCTCGCTAAGTCAAGGCATAATTATAGGTTTAAATTTATGAAACCTCAGAGCTATTAAGGATCGACAAGGGAAGTTGCTCAAGATCTTTATTTTGATAAGATTGTCATTCGCGTAATTAAAAAGAAAAGAAACTGTTAGAATATAAATGAAGGGTGTATTTCTTTAGTTCAACAATAAACCTAGTTGCCAATCTAGTCGCCCGCTAAATTCCTGCCGGCGAGGCACGAAGTAAGAAAGCTCAGTGGCCGTGAAAATGTTTTTCTTTTTTTTTTTAAAAAAAAGACAGAGTGAAATTACGTCACGTCGCTGAGAAAGTGAGTGAAGTCAAAATGCCAGAACAGGATCGATAACAGACCATTTTTTTAAAATTCTTTTTTTCTAGAATATCGAGATCTATAGTGAAATCTGCAGACTAGGTACAGAAGCAATATTCAATGCAGGTACGAATGGTAAATGTGTAAGAGGAATTCTGCTGAGAAAGAATTCTTGCACGACCTTCTGAATCAACTCCCTGGCAGCAATTGATTCAATATAATGGTACCACTTCGTATCAGTTGGAAATGTGAGATCATGAAGATAAAAAAAAACGTTTCTATCCTGAAATTTAACATCAGTTAGGCTGATGGCAGACATAAAAAAATTCCCGATGTGATTAAATGAAAGTACATTGTTTTGAGGCGGCAAAACATACAAGCTATTTCTTCATCTGTTAACCATAGTTATTTTCGAGAGTAGTTGCCAGGTTTGCTTTGTTGTTTGGCGGGAATTATAAATCATCTGCAGAAACTGCTTATTATCTTCAGACAATGTTTGGCACTTGTTTGGTCAAGTTATAATTCTCATGAGTTAAAATACTAGTCGATCCACAGTTATTTACCTGATTAACAATTTGACAGTTTGTCGAAGTGCTTAAAAATCGGCGTGTTGCCTGAAAGAGACTTTCGAACTAAACTCAGTGCCTTCATTTATATGACCCTGGGATAAAGTTAATACCTTGAGGATCGATGTCTATAACAATTGAAATAACCTTGGTCTCAGATTCCATATAACCAGGCTATTGGTCCTTAATATCGGGGTGAGGAGGAACACTTAAATAATACTTTGCGTCTATCATGAACATGATAAAAGAATTTCGTACGAGGTAGAAATAAATACTATTCAGCAAATGATTTCATCTGTTTCAATCCATTTTCTTTCTTTCTTTTTTTTCTTTCATGTTAGTATTCGTTCCTTCTTTCCAAGATTTGGGAAATTATCTTCTCTCCTTCTTTCGTTATCTCTTTCATCAATATTTCCTTTCTAGAATTTAACTTTTTCCTTTTATTCAGTTTAGCTTTGATAGATTTCCTTTCCTTTACAGCTTTCATTTCACTGTGGTTCATAGCTTTGTTATTCTACAGCAATGTGTGTGGTCTTTCTTTCTTGCTTTATTTATTACTTTTTACGTATCTATCTATATATCTATCTTTCTTTCTTATATTAATTGTTCTTTCTTTATGTCTTTTAATAATTTTTTCTACAATTAAATGCTTTTTTATTTATTTATGTATTTGATTTTAGTCTTTTTTGTTTCTTTGTTTCTTTGCGACTTTCTTCTTTATTTCCCCTATTTAATATCTCTTTCATTCCCTCATATATTTCTGAATGTTAGTTCCCTCCGTCCATTTCCCGTTATCTCTGTTATTTTTCCCGCAACTCTCTTCTTTCTTTCTTTCTTTCTTTCTTTCTTTCTTTCTTTCTTTCTTTCCTTACTGCCTTTCTTTCTTTCTTCCTTCCTTCCTTCCTTCCTTCTTTCTTTCTTTCTTTCTTTCTTTCCTTCCTTACTTCCTTTCTTCCTTTGTTCCTTCCGTCCTTCTTTCTTTCTTTCTTTCTTTCTTTCTTTCTTTCTTTCTTTCTTTCTTTCTTTCTTTCTTTCCAATCCTTCCTTCCTTCCTTTCTTCCTTCCTTCTTTCTTTCTTTCTTTCTTTCTTTCTTTCTTTCTTTCTTTCTTCCTTCCTTCTTTCTTTCTTTCTTTCTTTCTTTCTTTCTTTCAAACGTTTCCTTTTTGCTTGTTTTCTTTTTCTCTTCTAAATGTTCTTCACGCATTCCATTTATCTATGGCGAATTTCCGGAACTTGTTAATTTAAGATATTTCAAACATTTCTCAATTCATTAATATTTCTTCTTTTTTCCTCTGTATATTCTTTTCACTAAATTCTTCGTAACTGTTTCATATTTCGCCTTAAATTTTTCTTCTTTATCACCGAATTGTTTCTCTTCTAATATTACTATCTTTTTTTCGAACTGTTTCCTTCTTTGTTTTTACCCATTCACATTTTACCATTTTTTTAACTTTGTATATTTCTTCGGTATTTTTCGTTTTCTGTTATCATATCTTCATATCAATTTAGTTTTATTCTTTTTCTTGCTATATCAAAATTCATTTCTCCGCCAATGTTCAATCACTTATGAGATTTTTTTTCTTTCCCCTATCCTTTTATTTTCTTCCTCTCTTCTGGAGTCTTTCATTTCTTATTTTTTTTCTTATTTTTTTTTTCAACTTAACAAATCATTGTTTCTTTTTTTCATTTTCATTTCATACCTACATTTTCAGACACTGACTCATTTATTCTTATATTCTGTTATTTTGCATTTTGCAAATGTGGTTCCATGCAAACTAATACCATCAACCAAACCTGACGCCTACCCTGTGCTTAGAATCGAGTTGAGAAATAGTGCATTTATAAAAGTTATTCAGCCCAGAACATTCTGCTCAGACATTTTTCAATAGATTGGCGTACCTGTCATTCGATTGAAAAAAAATAACTAACTAAATTATAGATGATTTTAGACACGAAAAATTTGTTTGCCGTCACTGAATGAGGAAAAGATTCAAATGAAGAAGGTGAATAAGCCAGCAGAAAAGGAAAAAAAGGAAAAAAACTATTACCAATGCCTTATTGTGAAATATAGATATCCACATTATAAAGTTATTGAGATAGATAGATAGATAGATAGATAGATCAATATAAATAGGATGAGTTTTATAAATAGATAAAAAACAGATAGATAGATAGATAGATAGATAGATAGATAGATAGATAGATAGATAGATATGAATAGGATGAGTATCTGTGTCTCTCTCTCCCGCTCCTTCTCTCTCTCTCTCTCTCTCTCTCTCTCTCTAAGAAACACGCATACACACACAAGAGCTGATAGATTTATAGTTAGATACAGTTTATGAAAATACTCAGTGATATGTAAGAAAAGCTTGACAGACTTAGAGTCAATTCACGGAGATAATCTCTATCTCTCTCTTTTCTCGCTCTCTCTCTCTCTCCCTCACACACACACCTACACACACACGCGCACACACAGAGAAACAGGATCAGACTTTGATATGAACAGATGGAGATAGATATGAGTAGAAGGAGATAGATAATGAACAAATGTATATACACATACATACATACACACACACACACAGACGCACACCTACAAACAAACACACACACACACATATATATATATATATATATATATATATATATATATATATAGATAGATAGATAGATAGATAGATAGATAGATAGAAATGAACAGACTAAGATAGATAGATATGAACATATTGATATTGACACGTATAACATAAAAAAAAATCCGAATTGAACTTTTTATACAAAACAGAAAGTTTCTCATTATTTAGTCCTAGAAGCGAGCTGTTACGCAAACGTATTCTGACGCAAAAATCAAAATAAATGATGTTTCCATTTAATTTGCGATCTTCACTCTGCCAATATTCTTGAGGTACGTATTGGCAATTTTGGCAGAAAAACAAGATAGGATATTTTATCAAGTTGTCTTGAATGGCTCCTCTTTATCTGCATAAAGCAGCCGTACCTCAAGTCTCTATCTTTCGATTTATGTTTTTCTTAGTTTCATCAACAAACGATATTAGTTCTGATGAGACAAACATTAATTCTTAATAGTAAGTCTGGCTGTTTCTATAATGGCAAATTAACAGATGATCTCATAAATTGTTAACTGGGACAAGGAATGGCTTGTTAATGTTAATGCCTCTAAAACAAAATTGCTCTCTTTTAATCGACAGAAAGAACTCTTTTTACCTCCAATAACTACGGCAGATGCCAACCTCTAGGAGAGTGAAATATTGCGCCTTCTCAGACTAACGATTTCCGCTGACATGAAATGGAAATATTATATTGAATTTATTGCTAATCTCACTGCTAGGAAAGTCGATAATCTGCACGAGGCTACAACTATGTATTATCTACTGTGGATAGAACTCAATAGGCAAACGAAACGAACCAATATTGCTAACCATTCCACCAAGTTCAAGTGATCATATAACTAATAAGGTAAACGTAGCTGATAAACGACTCATATAGAGAATAGAACTCAATACACAGTATTTTGATAGAGCAAGACACGCTTGGTAAATATTACGCCATGTCCAGTCTGTAATATTTTAACAAAGCCATTTCTCCATTCTTATTCCGGCTGCTACTACTAACACCAGCTCTACTACTAATACTAATTATAATAATAAGACTACTACTACTACTACTAATAATAATAATGCAACCCCTACCACCTCATCCAATAGATTTACTCTTAGAATAATCATAGTCGGCAAATTATAATTATTAATTTGCCGTCTATAAATATTTCTGGTATTTCTTTTTATATATATCTCAGCGAAACAGTTTGAGAATTTTATTTCGGGAATTTCTATTTTCATAGTGACAACTTCCTGCCTCATTTTCACCTCCTTTTACATCTTATTTATTTCCTCGATTTGTTTGCTCTTTTTAAATCATCTTTAATGTAATTTTCTTTCTTTTTTCCTCTTTTTTTCCCTTTGAATCTCTTTATTTGTTCCTTATTCCTTTAATCTTTCTGCTTTTGGAATTGCAATATTTTACTCTATTTTCTCGACTTTTAAACATCTTTATTCTTGACATCTTCTTTCTTTTTCTTTTTTTTTTCAAAATATTTTAATGATCTTTTATCGCTTCATTTGGAAAAAAGATTTTGTTTTATTTGCTTTTTATTATTTTTCCTTTGGATTGTTTTTAATTTTCCTTACTGTGTTGTTTTTCTACTTTAATTTCACATTTTTTTCCCGTTATGTTCAAGTCTTCAAAAATATCCAAATATACCTCCATGTTTAAAGAGCAATATTTGTTTTTCATTTTTATAGCTTTCCCTGATTTCTCTTTCTATTCTGAAAGTAAATTCCTGTATTTCTTCTTCAATTGTGTTGCTTTCTATTTTCTTTCTTTCTTTGTTTTATTTCTCCGAAGTAAATCATTTTTGTCATTTTTTTTTTTTCAATTACAGGTTTTTATTTTATCATTTTTTTTCCGTGTTGTTTTTTGTATTATATGATCATTATATTATCATTTCAACTATCGAACTTGTTAGTCTTTTATCTCTTTTTGGAAAAATACTAGACACTCTAATTAAAACTGATTTGGTTACGTAGCTTTATTCTTCATTTTCTATATGAAAAAAAAAAACATTCATGGCAATTCTACTGATGATCTTTCCTTTAAGGTGCAATTGTATATAAATTGTATTCATTGTAAATATTCTGACGATATTAAGACGATAAACTAAGTCTAACAGCAAGGCCTGTGATCAGGAAGTATGGAGGAGCGTGGAACCACTTCTTATTTGCTGGTGTCCCAAGTTCCACTGTGACCCGTGTGGTAGTACCTATTAGAATCTCAGTTATAGGCAAATAGTTAACCCCCAAACTGAGGTCAAAACACTTGAAAGTGTAAAAATAGGTTTTGTGCAAACTTATTACCAACAATAAACTTTTGAAGGAAAAAATGTTACCAGCAATACATAAAAACATTAACAGCAATACAGATTTGAAAAAAATATTACCAACTATATATTTTTTGAAAAATAATATTGCCAGCAATAGATTTTTGAAGGAAATAAATATTGCCTGCAATACAGTTTGGGGACAAAAATACCAGCAATAAAAATTGTCGTCATTAAATAACCCATTGAGGTTGATATACCGTAAAACAAAAGAAACCAAACCATTGTAAATATTCACTGGGTTTTCATTTTTAAATTTTGTAAAATTACACTCCACCCCACAGAAACATTGTACATATGGGAGCTAGTTAGAACTGAATAGTGTCTTTGAGGTGTTATTATGTCTGCATTAAAAATAGTAAGTAAGGATGTTTTTTTTTTGTTTTTTTTTTTAAGGATTTCACCCCAAGCAAGGCGGGGAGCCACTAGGACGCAAGGGGTTACAGAAAATAGGAAGATCAGATAGGAGTGATAGAAGAAAGGATAAGGGTAGTAGATAGATTAAGGCAACTGGAGATGTCGATTGACATTACACTTGAATAGCTGGAGATTATAACTCTCAGGGAAACAGGAGAAGGGAAGAGAGTTCCACAGGCGAGAGGTGCGAGACATGAAGCTATTAGAGTAGAAGAGACGGCTACATTTAGGAGTTTCGACAGTGAAGGGGTGAGCGGGATGCCAACCTCGTAGGGCGCTTGAACTCATGAAGTTTGGGAACCAGCGAATGCAGTTCTTCGGAGCAATTTCCATGAAAGTATTTGTAGAACAGACAGAGGGAGGCGACGGTGCGTCTGTGAGAAAGTGACTGTAGACGAGACGCCAGGGCAGGGCAAACCATATTGCATATCCGCTTCTGGAGCCTATCAAGAACCCCGAGGCAAACAGAAGGGGCGCCAGACCATATATGGCAGCAATACTCCATGCAAGGGCGAATTGTGGATTTGTATATCTGGAGGATCGACTCAGGGAAAAAAACTTCCCTAGCACGGCTCAGGGAGCCAACTTTCCTCGCAGTGGACGAGGCAATTGAATCGATGTATTTATTCAATCTCAGGTCAGCAGACAACGTGAGACCGAGAAGCCGCAGAGAGTTGCTCGCGAGAAGTTGAGCGTCAGACATTCTAATGGAGGGAAGGGAAGGCGCTCTGTGGTGATTAATAGAGAGCAGTTTTGTCTTCGAAGCGTTGAAGTTGACCAGCCAAATCATGCCCCAGTTCACAATCGATTGAGGTCCTTTTCGAGACGCACGGCAAGGTGAGGTTTGTCAGCGAGACTGGATTTGTTGTTT